GTGAAACACATAACTCATACTTTTATTTGAATATCTTTAAAACAAGGATAACATACTGTGGATTGATTCTGTTTACAAAACTTCATAATCACTGGGTATTCTTATATATGTTATACATGTATTTGGAATGAAAAAGAAACTGTTAAAGGAAAGTGAAATTAATACTAATGTTGTCAAAGGAAGATTAAAAGAACAGTTTATTTATGCACAGAATTGGTCAAAAGATATTGTCATTGATAATTCATCCAAGAATCATATGTATAATAAATCTATCAAAGTCAATTTTAACGATATAAAGGAAAGTTTATATCTGTTTGAATGTAAGTGCAAAAAGGTCAACCAGGGCAACATGTGTCTAGGATGTATAAATATTTGCTTTTGTGATATAAAATGTAATTTAGAAGAATATTACAAAGAATTTACGCATTTTCTGTGAAATATTTTGATGAATTCTTTGATAATCTCTCTTAGTCACCATATTCTTCAAAAGTGCATCCTTTGTAAAGGAAGGGGGTAGGGTAGGGTGTAAGATAATAAACTTGCGCCAGGTTGAAATTAAACCCCATTATCTAGTATGATTTTTTTCTGAAATTTAAGATACCTAATGACTAATTATAATATGCAATAAAAAAAGAAATTTGATGGGTAATTTTTTCACTGTGGAAGCAGAAGTGTGAGTCTTTGAGCAATGAATAGGCAATATTTTAACGTAATTTGACCATGCATCTTGGTGAATGTAATTCTGTTTTTTGTTTACAATGCTTGATACTTTTAAGATTGATGTCAAATATTAATTCATATAGACAGATGTTTGAATTCATATAAGACAAATGATAATTAATATATCAATAAAAATTTTATAGCCCTTTTCATTTCTTCTTCTTATATTATTTTACCCTGCTTTTTCAGCTCTTCGGTGGGTGATGAAGGCTATATTAAAATAATCAAATTTCTCTTAAACTAGCCCGATGACCTACCTTGAATTTTTAATATGATTTAGAACAAAGACTCAACACAAACATATATAAAATTCAGAAAATTTCAATGGTTAGTTTTTTTGTTGACAACCTATCAATCTCTACCTTAAATGTACAAATTTCAATAGCAGTCGGAATATGTACAGGCTGATATCGGCCATCGTAGTTTTGTTCTCCTTTTAAGAAAAAAAATGTTTTACAACCCGTTTCCAAAAGTTCACTGATCAAAGAGGAACAACTCTAAATATGTGGGAGATTTTCCCCCTCCCCTAGTTGAGTTATTTCCTCCTGTTTGTCGAACAGTTATGAAGACACAATGAATTCTGATGAACTCAAGAACTGAAAACTATAATATATACTAATTAAGTACCGAAAATGTAACAGAATTGTTTACTGAATGGCCTGAATTCACGAATATCTTATATGCGACAAACTGGCCCTATCCGACCATCTAGATTATTACCGTCTTCCTTGGAAGACGGTATACAGAGTTGAAGTATTTTACAGTCTCCGGACTATGTACTTCCTCTCTTTTGTGATTGGTAGAAATTGCATGATGAGAAAATTTTCAATTATTTCATTGGTTGAAATGCTGTTCAAGGCAAAGGAGATAATTTTCTGATGATCTAATTTTCGTACGACTTAACAATTTTTCAAGATTTTCAATCGTAAAAAAATCACTCTCTACCATCGGCTCATACATTCAAATTTGAAATAATCCTTTGAATGTCATGTTTTTTACGTTATGTCAAAAATCTTGACGTGAGCCCATCGCAGAGGTGTCTGAGAGAGAAACGAACGACAACTCTGCAAGGGAGAATGTAAAAAAATATGACAGAACGAACAGTGCCTGTTGAACTAATTCGAAATAACATACTAGTTTTTTTTTTTATAGCAATTATCAAAAAACGTTTCTATATTTTTATTGTTAACGTTAACAGAATTGATCTTTATTGCATGCAAGCTTTACAGCTTGTATATATGTATTCTTTTTCCCTTTGTTTTGCCGATTACATATCACAAAGGTCACGGAATCAGCCTAGGTTTGCCCATTCGGCAAACTTCGGCTGATTCCGTCATCAGCCGAGGTGTGCCGAGTGAGGTTTGCCGAATGATCTCGGCAGCAGAGCCGAAGTTTACGGAGACAGCCGAGCATCTGTTTTTCACTTGGTAGGGCTTATCTTTATGTCAAAAAAAAAAACTAATGAAGAAATACAAAGCCAAGAATTGGTTTTGGTCAGTTTACTGTTTAGGTTTTTGCTAAAGACGGTAAGCTTTTTGAAAAAGCTCTACTTGTGATATACCACTGTCAACAATTTCAGTGCGCATTTCCTCGAATCAAAACAAAACGGTTATACATGTATCACTGTACATGAATATTTTGACACATGAATAATTTAAACATAGATGGAGAATTTACAGTTTGATAAATTTAAGTTAATGTAGACGAATACGAAATTTCAATTTTATCTATAGAAGCAACAAAAGTATGCATACAAGGGGGTGGGGGTGGGGTTACTTTTAGACCCCTCTCTTCTTTGAAATAAATAAGAAACAATATATACATTTACCAGCCTGTTTACATAAGAGAAGAGTTGAATTTTCAACATTGTGCGTTCACTTTTAATGAAAAATAAAATTGAAATTCAATGTAAGTTGAATTCATACGCAGGTATAAAATTAAATGCATGTCAGCCATGTGTATGGACTACATATTGGACAGGTGGACATACAATCCTTAGATAATAAGTTTTACTTTTATTCTAGTAGTTGATAGTTTAACTCTTATTCTAGTTGTCAGAATTTAAATCTGCATGAATGAATTAATTAATTGGTACTTCAGCGATTTAAAAGATTAAATATATATCTCGAGGGTAACCCATGTTTCATCAAGCTCTAATGACTACGTACAAAAAAGGGGGAGGGGGGGGGGGCTTCGTCAAAAAGTGTCTATACATCTGCATTTCAATGAACTGAAAAGTTTTAAGAACTCTGATCTATAATGTAAATAATGTTTTTTAAAGCAAAATATATTTTCTAGCTTGGAATTTTTCATGTGTATATGTAGATCTAACAATGCTTTCGTCCCACGTCTGAAAGAGCCTTGAGAAACGTGATTTAAGGAGAAAGGGGGGGGGTGATTTTTCGCAATAAAATCAAAACGGCTCGTTTAAAAAAATTACAAAAAGATTACTTTTGTAACCAGTTACATTAAAAACGTATTTTTTTTACAAAATTAAACGATAGGTTTTTTTCCTAAAAAATATTATAAATGAAAAATACGCATTTTTCAAGGCTTAAATGAACCATAGTTTTTCTGTTTAAGTTCTTCAAAAAATATTTTGGTGATGTGTACCTCTACAAAAATACTTTATTTGTGTGGTTAATGGTTAAATGAATGAGTCGATGAAATTTGACAGCCAGACTATCTGGACTTTTTTGAAAATCAAGGATTTTATAGCTAGCCGATCGAAATTTATTCCCCGCGTGAACAACCAAAGGGGGGTAACTTTTGGAACTTCCTGTCCAAATACGACTCGAACGATTTTGTCCAAAATGTGCATACGCATTGTATATATAGTCATGTATGAAATATACAAATATAGCGAAAATTAAACGACAGGATTTTTTTGGTGGTGGGTGTGTTGTACGTCCTTAAACGTTATTATGCATACTGTTCGACGGATTTATATAGCGTTAGCAACTGCTAAAGAAAGTCTGACATCACAGGCGCCGGGGATCGAACTCACAAAAAAATTTACCCTAGATGCAGGGGGGGGGGGGTCAACCTGTCCCCTGTATTTATAGAATTATTAAATGTATACATGTATATTGAAACAAATTTAAAAAATGCCAATATGCATATAAAGATTTGATTGCTTATTCTTTAATATGTGTATATTTATCACACTGTTATAATGATTTTATGAGTTTGTACACGCCAGACATCATGAATTTTTCATTTCACATGTTGAATAGTATCATTTAGTAAATCAAAAAAAAAATTAAATCGTCCGGGGGTTGAACCCGGGCCTCTCGCTTGCTAAGCGAGCAACATACCACTAGACCACGGAGGCACTTGATTATACAAACAATTAAATGCATTTACTTGAAGTCACATATACTGTTTATATTCACCTTTGATATTGTCAAACTTTTACACAATAAATGTTGTCTGATTTAGCCTTTACTAAACAGTTCTAATAGATGTAATTAGAATATAAAGTCCGCCGACAATCTGCATTATACGTAATAACTCTCCAGATGCCCATGTGCTAAAAATAGTGCCAAGCGACTTTTAATACAATAAATAAGAACAAACGGGGCGGGACACTTTGAGAGGGGCAAGAGAGGCCATAGGGAGTTATGGTATAAATTTAATTGCAAAAGCTCAAAGAATTCGCGAGATATCGTGCGGAAACGAAAGTGTTAAAACAGACAGAATCTATGACCTTGACCTTTGACCTCAAAATAAATAGGGTTCTTTTTCAGGCCATAGGAAGTTGCTGTGCAAAATTTCATTGCGAAAGCTCAAAGGGTTCTCGAGATATCGCGCGGAAACGAAAGTGTTACAGACAGACAGAAATACAGACGGACGGACGGACGGACAGACCCAAATTAATATCCCCCACTTTCAGTGAAAGCGGGGGACAAAAAGGTGGTACTTAAAAATGAAATGGAAGTATAGAAAGAAGAAGAGTGTGTTACAGATTTATTTATGTTTGCAATACCATGATTGATAATCACGCGAAGTTTAAGCTAGGTGAGGCGGATGACGAGAGAAGAGTTGCAAGCCTTCTCTCTTTTTATGTATCAGCCGTAAACGGTATATATTTAACAGTTTATGGAAACAAAAGGGTTACATTATTGAACACGTAGTACACATTATATTACAAAAATAGGAAAAAAGGTGTGTCTACCCCAGATTTAAAAGGAAAAAAAGAAAAGGGGGGGGGCAGCTTCCAAGTGTCTGTGTTGTAAACATGTATAACATATGGAATAAAAAATAAAAGTATTTCCTACTCTGGTAATCGAGCAGTTCTCTGCAAATGGTCTGTGGAGCCTGTAGAGCCTTAACCACCTTTTTGTCCTTGAAACAATTCTTGGCCTCTTCTTTGTTTATTGACTAAAAAAAAGTGAAATACCTATATACTCAAGTTTACGGTTTATGGCCATTTATTTAAATTAGCTATTGAGAGATTAGTTCAAAACAGAAACATATAGTAGGAATTCTCCTACATATATCTTATTATCACTTATTATTTTTTTCTTCAACATATATTTAACAAACGTCTCGTTGATACTATTAATTATCGACTTACCTTCATTAACCACATCATTCCTAAGCAGTTACAGTCTTTAACTTTTGGTCCATGCTTTGTACAACTAATAGTCTTGAAAGAAATAATTTAAAATTTGAAATATGCAAAAAATTGAAAGTGATACTATTGTATTTGTCACAGTGAACAGGACGTATGTGAGTCAATGCTAACTTGTAATACCCCCGCTCTGATTTGAATAAACGCTGTTATTTGAATATATGGACAGACACACGGAAAAACAGAAAACAAGTTGAGATTGGATTCGTCCAAAATGAATCCCACCATATGGCATGGCTTAACAAAGAGTGTACTAAAACTTCTAGCATCTGTGATTAGAAACTGCTGAAAAAAAAACTGCGATGGAAATTTTGCACAGACAGACGCGCACAGATGAACAGGAAGTTGACATTGGATTCGTACAAAAATGAATCCCACCATATGGAATGCCTAATCAAAACGTGTGCTTAAATTCCCAGCATCTGGTTTGAATAAATGCTGAGAAAACTGCGGAGGAAATTTGAAAGAGACAGACACACTGATGAACGGGAAGTTGACATCAGATTCATACAAAATGAATCCAACCAAATTCCATGCCTAAACAAAAAGTGTGCAAATATTTCAAGCATCAGCGAAGAGTAGTTCATGAGAAAACTGCGACGAAAAATTATTACAGACAGACGCACGGATAAACAGAAGGTTGAAATCGGATTCGTACAGAAACGAATCCCATCAAATGACATGCCTAAACAAGGAGTGTGCTAAAATTTCAAGCATCTGTCATGTTGTAAATTTTGAATTTACTGGTGACAGTAAATACAAAATTTTGTCATGTTGTAAATTTTGTATTTATTGCCACTCGGTAAATTCAAAGTAACAACATGACACATCCCTATCAAAAAATACTATAGTTAACTTTAGTGATAACTTTGACACTATGAAAACTTTAGTTAACTATAGTGATAACTTTGACACTTTGATTTACTCTAGTGATAACTTTGACACTTTGATTTACTCTAGTGATCACTATGACACTATAGTGATAACTATGAAAACTTTGAAATACTATAGAGATCACTATGAAATCTTTACAATTGTGATAACTTTAAAATTTTTATTTACTTTAGTAAATCAAAGTTTCTAAAGTTATCACTATAACTATAGCACTATAGTGATCACTTTGAAAACGTTGATTAACCATAGTGATAACTTTGATTTACTATAGTAAACTACAGTTAACTATAGTTTACTATAGTATTTTTTTTGGTTAGGCACTGCGATGAGCATTTGCTGTGAAAATTGCGATGAAAATCTGGCAGAATCACGGATTTACGTCAGGAAGTTCAAATCAGATTCCTACAAAAATGAATCCCAACATATGACATGCCAAAACAAAGAGTGTGCTAAAAGAGGGTGTTGCAGAAACTCGTGATTATTCCCTATATCGAGAAGGACATTTAAATACCCACGACGCATGAAGAGTTATCGCTTAATATAGATAATACTACGTAGATGACTTTATTTATACGGCGGGTATGTCCATCGTGTTTTAGCAAAACATTTCACATGTTATGTTTATTTCATGCATAGTTTTTCCTATCTTGTTGATTTATCCGACTTTAAATAAAAATTATTCTATCCTATAGACTGGCGACCTGATAGTAAACTTTTTTTTCACATCTATGGTCACTATCGCCATATTGCACGCGAAAAGTTAGAACGATAAAATGCACAATTAATGGCAAGTGCATCTCGCACATCATTTTGAAAGATGTGCTGTAGACAGCATGCGTTAATATTTTTTAAATATGTATTAAAAAAAATGTGTCCAATAATCACGCTGTTGATGCAATATCCAAAAAATTCCATTGAGTCATTTCAATTTAGTTGTTTCAAGTCAAATCTGAGCAACTAATTAACAGAACAATAATGAAACGAAATGAGTCTGAAAAAATTAAATTATTTAAAATGATAGTACATGTGCACTTTATTTTTAAAGACATCGCCACTAAATGTATGTCTAATTTGATTTAAATCACAATATCAAGGAAAACAATTTAATTCTGCATGCATTTAAAATATTACTCATTAACTTTACGACATCTCCCCCTCTCTTTCTCTCTCAAGAGAGTTGTTACATTGTAATTCCATTATTTAAGAAAAAAAATATGTATACACATACCAGCCATTCCAGGATTCGAACCCATTCTTAGGCAAAAGAAACTTCGCAAAGATTCCACACATTTTACCACTAGACCAGCTCCAACACTGAAGTATTAAGTGCTATTTTATGTGCACATTTTCCATTTCGGATGGATAATAATATTTATTCGATTTTTGTGATTTTCAAAAATATGCCTCTTTGAAACAAAAATCGGAAATGGCAGTTTTGAAGAAAAATCCTGTCTCTTTATGCGTATATCAAATTCATTCTGTTTCAAGGAGGCAATTTTTCAAAACAATGGGGATTCCCTATTCGAAAAACAGAAAACTTGACTTATTTTCCTAAGTGGCTAATTTACACTTCATTTAATGGCAAACTGGTAGTCGATATGCAGTTTCTAAATATTGTTCTACATTGTGCTGTATATACCGTTGTATCTGAAAAAAATTTAAGACCGTTTTCTGTTACTTGAAATTTTTCTTTTAAACTGCTACAACGTTAGGGAAAATAACAAAAGAACTGCAACACACTCTTTCCAACATCTGCAAAGAGTACATGTAGTTGCTAAGAAAACTGCGACGAACGACAAACAGCTAGACACAGAAGGGTTAAACAGTATAACCCCCCAACCCCCAACCCCCTTCCTTTGGAGCGGGTGTATAATAAAAATATATAAGTTGAGCCAAACTGAGATTGTGTTCCTTATCACGAAAAGAATATTAAAATAAGATGTGTTCGTGAAATGTTTATGCCCCCATATGGCAACTCACTGCGAAGATTTATGTTTCTCGAGTCATATTCTTGGGCCAAAGAGATATTATTCAAAGCATTACTATAAAGACCACAGAAGTTGCTAAAAGCTCACTTTAAATGCTGTCAAGACAAACCTCATTATTAATATCTATCTCAAGAATAAGTTTCTTTTATTCGGACATGAAATTATCAAAAACTGTCTATAAACCTACCTTTAGACTTCAGTTCAGATTTCGGAAGTTTCTGGTTTTATCCTATAGTATTAACATAATCGGAAGTTGAAGTATCCAATATAAAGTCGACAAGTGCATTTAGACAATTTTTATTATGCATATTTTACAATAAAGAGGCCCCACAAAGGACGTTTGAAACGATTCAATACGAAAAGAAAAAAAATAGTCAAAATTTTTTTTTAAGCGAACTTTCTTTTGCTAAAGGGGTAAATGACTGATAAATTAAGAGAATACGAGTTTTAAGTCGGAGTGTCTGAAATTGAGTTTAGATTGGTAGATTGTGGCAAAAATCAGGTCGGGACACCCTGTATACAAATCAAGTGTCTGTGGCCTATGGAAGCAAGAAATTTTAAAAGTTAGGTTATCATTATCATAACTTTTATCCTGTTGTTATATGTATCCGCCAAGCTTCGTTAGAAGAATTAAACTAAGAACGTACCGATCTGTAAAGAACTGGCATATCTTTCTTTTTGACAGATACACCGTGATCCATGAGGACTTTGACATAATCGGTTCTATTGGATTTCAGCGCCTCCAATAGTAATATCTGAAAAAGACAGTAATGAGTTAACATGATTAATTCATAAAACTACACTATTTTTTGGTTACTTGATAGCTTTTTATAAGCATTCAGCCTTCCAAATAAGCCTCTTTTGTATTATTTCGTCTATCTTTTATTTTCCAAAAATGATTATGCCATCAAAACCTTGCTTTTTTACGATTGAGAAAGAAAAGAAACAAGAGGCCCATGGGCCACAACGATCACTTGAGTTACTTTGGCCCTGTTGTTCTTCACCAAAATTTCCCCTTGTAATGATACTTATTGTGGCCCAACCCTACCCCCGGGAGTCATGATTTTACGAATTTAAAATTAACACTACCCCAGGATGCTTCCACATAAGTGTCAGCATTTCTGCCCCAGTGGTTCTTGAGAAGATTTTCCCAATAAATTTCATTGTAAACATTTGATTATATATTGTGGCCACGCCCTACCCCTGGGGGTCATGATCTGAATAATTTAGAATATACATTACCCTTTCACATAAGTTTCAGCTATTCTGACCCAGTGCTTTTTAGGGGAGGAGATTTTTAAAATTTTTCCTATATATTTCAATGTAAAAATTGGATTCCCTATTGTGGCTACGCCCTACTCCCACGGGTAATGATTTGATTAGTTTAGAATCTACACTACCCCAGGATGCTCCAACATAAGTTTCAGCTTTTGTGGCCCAGTGGTTCTTGAGGAGAAGGATTTTAAAGATTTTTTGCTATATATATGTATTTTAATGTAAAAATTGGATTCCCTATTATGGTCCAGCCCTACCCCCGGGGGTCAGGATTTGAATAATTTAGTATCTATTCCCTAACAAAAAATACTATAGTAAACTATATTTAACTATAGTTTACTATAGTTAACTATAGTAAATCAAAGTTCCAAAGTTTTCACTATAGTAAATCAAAGTTCCAAAGTTTTTACTATAGTAAATCAAAGATCCAAAGTTTTCACTATAGTAAATCAAAGTTCGAAAGTTTTCACTATAGTAAATCCAAGTTCCAAAGTTTTTACTATAGTTAATTAAAGTTTCAAAGTTTTCCCTATACTTAATCAAAGTTTCAAAGTTTTTTTCATTAGTTTAACAACTTATGTATCTTTATTATTTTTTTATTATTATTATTTAGCCGTTTTAGGGGAGGGGATGGATATGGGGTTGGTTGGAGCTGGTTTTTGTTGTACATCTTTATTTAAACATACGAAGAAGTTAATTCAAATGCAATATTTACATTTATAAATTTAAAAAAAATTACATGTTTACTGAAGTTGATGAAGCAGATATTTTGATTCTAAATGACACAATTTTTTTCATTATTTTTTCTCCATAAATAAGACTTACGTTACATCTGCATAACATTAAAATTAAATGCATTGAAATAAATATTGCTTATTTATCGGCGCAATCGACAACCTTTACATTAAAATTCCTATATTGTACATTATTCTTTTAGGAGAGGGGTCGGATTTTTAAAATGTTCTCTTAAGCTTTTATGAATCTTAAACTTGAAATATCATAAAATGTAAAGAATGCGAATCAAAAACATAATTCCACGGGATTTATAGTACTTAATCAAAGTTTCAAAGTGTTTACATGTACTATAGTAAATTAAAGTTCCAAATTTTTCATTATAGTAAATCAAAGTTCCAAAGTTTTCATTATAGTAAATCAAAGTTCCAAAGTTTTCACTATAGTAAATCAAAGTTCCAAAGTTTTCACAATAGTAAATCAAAGTTCCAAATTTGTTACTATAGTAAATCAAAGTTCCAAAGTTTTCACTATAGTAAATCAAAGTTCCAAAGTTTTTACTTTGGTACTATAGTTAACTATAGTAAACTATAGTTAACTATAGTTTACTGTGGTATTTTTTTCTTAGGGTTCTACCCAAGGATGCTTCCACATAAGTTTCAGCTATTGTGGCACAGTGGTTCTTGAGAAGATTTTTAAAAGATTTCTTCTATATGTTTCAATGTAAAACTTGGATTCCCTATTGTGGCCCCGCTCTACCCCTGTCTGTTGTGATTTTAAAAATTTAATATCTTCACTACCCTAAGATGCTTCCAAATAAGTTTCAGCATTTCTTGTATAGTGGTTCTTTACAAGAAGAATTTAAAAGATTTGTTCTATATATTTCAATGTAAATCTTTGATTCCCTATTGTGCCCACCCCTTACACCCAGGGATTCATGATTTGACCAATTTAGATTTTCACTACCCCAGGATGCTTCACACATAATTTTCAGCATTTCTGGCATAGTAGTTCTTGAGAAGATTTTCAAAAGATTTTTTACTATAAATTTCAATGTAAATCTTTGATTCGTTATTGTGACTCCGCCCTACCCCCGGGGGTCATGATTTTAACAATATAGAATCTACACTACCCGAGGATGCTTCCACTTAAGTTTCAGCTTTTCTGGCCTAGGGGTTTTTGAGAAGATTTTAAAAGATTTTTACTACATATTTCAAGGTAACCTTGGATTCCCTATTGTGGCCCGCCCTACCACCGGGGGTCATGACTTTAAAAAATTAGAATCTATACTATCCCAAGATGCTTCCATAAAAGTTTCAGCTTTTCTGGCCCAATGGTTTTTAGAAAAAGACTTTTTAAGGACCCCATCCTATTTTTGTCTTTTCTTGATTATCTCCCCTTGTAAGGAGGATTGGCCGTCCATTTAAACAATTGAAACTCTCCTTCACGCAAGGATGCTTTGCACCAAGTTTGGTTAAAATTGGCCCACTGGTTCTTGAGAAGAAGTTGAAAATGTGAAAAGTTTACAGACGGACGGGCGGACAATGGATGATCAGAAAAGCTTACTTGAGCTTTCAGCTCAGGTGAGCTAAAAGGGGATTGGTTTTGTGCCTATTTAACCTAATGTGATTTATTATAATGAAAGCTCGGTAATATTTATCAGAAAAAATGCATTACAAAAAGTATACATTATCCTTTACTTACATGGCCACATTCCATAAGAAGATTATGTTCCTGTAACACTTGGTATCCGACGTAAAAATAAAGCGGAAGTGAGGGTGGAGATGTATATTTTGAATCCACAATATATCCCTCTGTACCGAAAGATGTCAGTAATTTTTCGGCAATGGTGACTTTCTTGTCTTTGGTGACTTCGTCCTTATGAGCTTCCAAACTCCAAGATACAACCGGTTTGTCATGCTTATTTTCACTGCACAAATAACCGTTTTCCTTTATAAGGGAACCATTTGGGACTTCAGCGGGAACTTTTGCACTTTCATACGACGAAATGCCGTATAAATCGCCTTTTTCCGGTAATGCAGGTGTTTCTGAATAAGATAAATACTTTTGATCAATCACAGAAACAAGAGGCCCATGGGCAACATCGCTCACCTGAGTAACTTTAGTCATGCTGTTCTTTACCAGATTCCCCCCCCCCCCCCTTGTAATACCTATTGTGGCCCCGCCCTACCCCGGGGGGTCCTGTTTGAACAATTTAGAATCTACACTACCCAAGGATGCTTCCACATAAGTTTCAGCGTTTTCTGGCCCAGTGGTTCTTGAGAAGAAGATTTTTTAAGATTTTTCCTATATATTTCAATGTAAAACTTGGATTCCCTTTTGTGGCCCCGCCCTACCCCCGGGGGTCATGATTTTAATAATTTAGAATCTGCACTACCCAAGGATGCTTCCACATAAGTTTCAGCTTTTCTGGCCCAGTGGTTCTTGAGAAGAAGATTTTTAAAGATTTTTCCTATATATTTCAATGTAAAACTTGGATTCCCTATTGTGGCCCCGCCCTACCCCAGGGGTCATGATTTTAACAATTTAGAATCTACACTACCCAAGGATGCTTCCACATAAGTTTCAGCTTTTCTGGCCCAGTGGTTCTTGAGAAGAAGATTTTAAAAGATTTTTCCTATATATTTCAATGTAAAACTTGGATTCCCTATTGTGGCCCCGCCCTACCCCCGGGGGTCATGATTTTAACAATTTAGAATCTACACTACCCAAGGATGCTTCCACATAAGTTTCAGCTTTTCTGGCCCAGTGGTTCTTGAGAAGATTTTAAAAGATTTTTCCTATATATTTCAATGTAAAACTTGGATTCCCTATTGTGGCCCCGCCCTACCCCCGGGGGTCATGATTTTAACAATTTAGAATCTACACTACCCAAGGATGCTTCCACATAAGTTTCAGCTTTTCTGGCCCAGTGGTTCTTGAGAAGAAGATTTTTAAAAATTTTTCCTATATATTTCAATGTAAAACTTGGATTCCCTATTGTGGCCCCGCCCTACCCCCGGGGGTCATGATTTTAACAATTTAGAATCTACACTACCCAAGGATGCTTCCACATAAGTTTCAGCTTTTCTGGCCCAGTGGTTCTTCAGAAGAAGATTTTTTAATGACCCCACACTATTTTTGTCTTTTCTTGATTATCTCTCCTTGTAAGGGGACTTGGCCCTTTATTTTAACAATTTGAACTCCCCTTCACCCAGGGATACTTTGTACCAAGTTTGGTTAAAATTGGCCCAGTGGTTCTTGAGAAGAAGTTGAAAATGTGAAAAGTTTACAGACGGACGGACGGACGGACGGACAACGGGTGATCAGAAAAGCTCACTTGAGCTTTCAGCTCAGGTGAGCTAAAAATCAAATGTTTCATACATACGATATACATTCGTAGTCCTGTTTTACATACAGACTATAGAGTCGCTTTAATCAGATTAACAAAGCTGGGAATGTTAAAAAAAAGGTTTGGAACTTTACCAGAGAAATATACAAATGCATATATATATATATATATCATCACATACCCTCTTTCGCCAGTGAAATACTAATAAATCAAATGGCTTTAAATTATACTTTCTTTCTCTTCATATATTAAACCAAAGTTTATTTCGAAATCAATTTCAAAATAGGCCTATTTTTCTTACCTTGGGCCTCTGATCTTGAACACTTATTGTTAAGGGAGAACGACGAGGTATTTTTTCCCCTAAATTTATTTGATACTCTAAACATTTGTTTTTAGCACAGACTCTCTAATCACTGTGCCAAGCGGGCGAAAAGGGCTATAATAAACTACATGTAAAGTTAACTATAGCAAATTTTGTTAGGCAACAGGGCTTCGTTTGATTAGAATTGCCTTTCCTTTACGGAAGGATGTTTTCGGCAAGTTAAGAATTATCCTTTGCATATGGAATATAAAAATATTGCATCTTCGATGTGCAAACCGCGATTTCATAAGGGGAAGACCATTTTATTCTGAGAGGGGGGCTGCCATTTTTTTGGAAATGAATAATCTGACCTCGAAAAAAATAATCTGTCCTCGACCGACAAGAAAATAAATAGTCTGACCTTGACTTGTGCCCCCCCCCCCCAACACACACGAAATAGAGTTTTGGAGTTGGGACATTTCCTTTCTTTTTTTTGTTTAACAAACTTTTTTCAGTGAAGAAGAAAATTAATTATCTGTCCTTGATCATTTGGAAAATAAATAATCTCTCCTTGACTGGCATGAAAATGAATAATCTGACTCGAAAAATTTTGCCAGCACTCCCCCCCCCCCTTTAGAATCAAATGATCGTTCCCTAAGAAAATTTCCATACAAACCATACAAACCGTACCATGCACTTCTTCCAATGCCCACCCCCTTACCACTGCTTCACCAACAAGCTTGGGAAACATCAATGGATCATCATGTTCAGTGTCAAACTCGCTCACCTAAGGTAAAGAATTGATTTTGTCCAGTTTCAGTATCACTAAACTTTGATTTTTGTAAAACCTAGTCATAGATTTAAGACTAGAGTTTTTACCTTGATTCAAGTTCTCTTCACAACATTGATCTAGGATGGATAAAGGGAACAAAAATATACTACATGCAAGTGACATCGAACGGATGTATTTATCAGTGTGGGGCACCCGCAAATTTTGCAGACTTAATATTCCACTTCAAATTGTAGTTTGAAGAAACCGGCCTGTTGCAGTCTGAAAGCTTCTAAAACAAATGCATACATCATACCATCCACGGTCTTTCTCTCAGTTTCTTGAGGTTCTTTTCCAACTCATCAAAGTGATTGTCATCGAACTTGAGTCCAAATAGAAGTGCTGCCTGGCTTCGAAGGTTATCCTCGCTATATTCAACACAAACAAAAGTATCAAATAGTGAATAATCTGTTATAATGTTGTGCGAATATGATAGAATTCAACAAAAGCTCATTCGTATTAGAGAGATTAATTGACTGTTGTTTTACGTCCCGTTGATGAATTTTTTACTCATATAGAGCCGTCACCATATACCGGTAAAAGGTTTCAAATTTAGAATTTACTCGGCACTCAGGGCCATTGAGCAGTGAGGGTTCTTTATCGTGCCAACGCCTACAGTGACACGGGGCCTCGGTTGTTAAGATTTCATCCAAAGGACTTCAAATTTTGACTTCAAAGTATCGAGCGCCTTGCGAAGGAACAGTTGCTTCCTATTTTTTCTCAATTTGGATCAGTCGCGGCTGTGATTCGAACACACGCCCTTCCGATTACCATATCAGAGAGAGAGAAAAAAAGGAAAGGAATAGTTCAAACCTTTTACATTTTTTTTTACCTTTTGAGAAAGTCCAGGATGATATCCGCTGCTTTGCCTGAACCCTTGATGACGATGACCGGCACATTTTTATGGACAGCTTCAGCAACATGTTTAATGTCATCAACATCTCCCTCCAGAAGGATTATTACAATCGGTATATGCATGACTATGGATGAAAAACATATATTTTCATTTATAAACCTCTTTGATATTAAGGCTATCTGATTTTTTATATATGTAAGACTTTGGTGGTTTTTAATTTTAGACCTCATTTCCCAGTCTTCTCTTTCATTTCCTACATTTCCGATTCCCGGTAACAACTGGACAGAAGTAATGTCAAATGCATGGTGTTTGCTTAACGGCTAATCGGCATTGCGTTGCCCGGATAATATCAACAATAAAGGTAAGAATAATTTCGAATTATTACGGTGAATAATAGACTGTCGATCAATTTAGTATATGACTCTTATTCTTAGGCGAATATTAATGCTATGCAGGGTTCTCCATCATTTCAAATTTAAGGTCAAACACAACGTACATGAAATTTTCAGTGTACCTTTCCCAGTGATAATTTTCTGAGGTATTCTGAAACGTAGGAAATTTCGGTTCTTTGTGTATTGCAAATCTTTTCCAGCCATTTCAAATGGATTAAAGTTCACGATATGAATACCCTATTTAAACCCGAGAGAGAGAGAGAGACAGACTTTACAGTCATTGCTTTTTGGGTAAAACTTTTAGTTTTCCTTAGTTGCGTAATAAATTCTATGAACTATTGCACAGCCTAGGAAAGTCCTAATGATGATGCTTATCAATTTTTTTTTGTTTTGTACATACAGTGTTTACATAACATTCCTTAAATACCTATGTATATAGTAATTTTAATAGAAAATATTAATTATAAAATGTCCAAGTGTAATTACCAAAACCAGGAATATGTTCTTCTGTAGTTAAGCTTGTGAAGATAGATACCATTTGTTTCTGAACAAATTCTTCTAGTTCTAATAAGTTGGACAAGTTCATAACAGCACTGTTTGGCTGGAAACAAAATTAATTTATATAAAACAGAACCGTTTGGCTTTCAATTACATTATTTCACTATCAAGAAAGAGGACATTCATGAAACATTATAAATACTTTTGTAGCATTTTTATGCTGTGTTCATTTTAAATTGTATTAAACACATTGTATGATTTTATACGATATTGCTTTAAGGTGTAGACTCCAATATCCAAATATTCGTACACTGAGTTTTTCTTGATCTTCAATTTGGATTTGGCCTTTTTCAGTAGAATCTGTTGATGAAGTTCCAATTAATATAATATCGTTTCCTTTTTTAGTCTTTGACTTCTCCATTGTGGTGTAAACATCTTTTGCGTCTCTTACAATCTTTGATACACCCACATTTTTATTGCCGTAAAGAATCCACGTATCTGAAAAATCAAAAAAAGTCCAATATTAATAATTTGTTTAATCAGGTTTATTTTGTGAAATACTTGGATGTTTTACTGATGGCAAAGTAGCAATTTACCTTGAAAGACAAAATGTCACTTTTTTATCACCACTTTGTATACATCATTGACATCATTTTTGCATATCTCAAAATACACACATTTTTAGGCTTTCAAACTAGGTTCGTTGGATAATTTTTTAAAAAAACTTCTTAAAAACTCCTTTAATAAGAACCTTTGAGTTCAAAACATATATCTGATTTAGAAGTGAAGTCAACGGGAAATAAACATATACGAAAATTACGAGAGAGGATCCATCATTATTCGTGATTTTAAGGGAAAAAAAATACATGTAGCAATTTCAGAAAATTAAATACAACAATTTGAAATCCATTATTAAAAGATTAAAAGACGTTAATTCATTGTATTAAAAACTCTGATTTCCTACAGTAAAAACGTGGATACTAAAGTAAAATATGGTTAACTAAAGCCTTATTTTGTTATGGACGATTTGAAAAATCCTTTGGATCATTTACAAATTAGAAATCCTTTGTTTAACCACAACTTTTTTGGCTTTTGATTGTATGTACTCCGAGACACGTATGAAAAATAAGCTTGCAAAGGTCCGTCTTTTAAAATCTTCTTATTTAGTTTATGAGTTCGTCTATGTATTCAAATTAAACAAAAATTATTGTTCGTCGGAACTTCTTGAAAGCCGGGGCCTAATTTAAAAGGCAAAGATATTTGGGAATATATTAAAGTAGTTCTGTCTTCATAATTATACAGATTCAATGTACACGTAGTAATTAACTGAACATAGTTGATATTTATTATCACAAGAATGTATAAGTTGCCATGTAATTTTGATTTCAGACAAATATATGATTTAAGGAGGGATTCTTCTCGTAAGAACACTTATTTCTTATATTTAAAAATCAATGAAATTTTCACAGAATCAAGAAGACAATATCATTAAGTGATGGTATCAGTTAGATTAAATTTGACCGTTTTATTTTAGAGGCAAGGTAAGGTCAAGGTCAATATCTTTTCCCTGGATATTAGGAATAAAAAATTACTGTTGCCAATCATGCGATGCCTATTTCTATTTTAATAAATTAAATGGGTTTTTTTTCTTTTTGCATGAAGAGATATTACCATATAGGGTCTATAAGTATTTATAATGTTAAAAATTCCAAAATAATTGTAACTTATAAATATGTTTGAACTGTGAATACTAGAGAAATCATTTTACATCAGAACAATAGTGAAATGCTTGAACGAGGATACATGGGAAGGTTGATTTATTGATTGTTTGACAAGATGCACCCATTCGAGGAAAAACTATCACTCTCGGCACTTGCAAAATCTACCGTTCAAATAAAAAACGAAAGATGTGAAAATTATTACAATTACATTGTATTATACCACAAATCGTTGCCTAGTACAAGGTAATATGTGTCAAAAATTGATACAAAAAGAATTTGAACGAATTCGGAATACTATTGATACATGTACAAAGGGAAGTTATCCCCCAAAATTGTTTGACAAAAAATCAGAAAATAGCCCTTTCTTAAACCGCCCAACCTAGATGTTGATAGAAAATCAAATTTATCTATTAAAAAAAAACTCTAGATGATAGTGAGTATTAAGTTCAAAATGAGAGTCCATCCACAATTCTGGACGACAGTCAATCTACACTTCCTAATGACGGTCAGTCTACAATTTTAGATGAAAGTGAGACATTGCGTAAAGAATTCGATCAAATCTATGATAATATAGAACCAGAAGTTGATGTTTCATGAGAACTTGAAATGAATAACAAAACAAATGATAAAGATGGAAAACAAGAACCAAGTATGTCTGTGTAATATTTACATGCTCTTCACAAGATGAAAATGAAACTAATTGAGTGTCATATGAAATTCAATGAAAAAAACGCATTAACAGAGACGATTCAGAGACTAGAGAAGAAACTAGACAAAACTTCTGAAGGAGATCGTGACAGTCCCATCTTGAAACCAGAAGTCTCTGATGAGACTGTAGCTCTACTGGTTTGTACTTATAACAAAAGAAGATAAAAGTAGCACTTATACGTGAAACTTTGCAACAGCAATAAATAGAATAATGATCCTTGGTTTAGTCTCTTTTTTCGGCAAGATTTATATTAATCATCAAAACTGTAGGATGAATAGCCTTTTAAAAGAATTTTACAGAAATTTCGGTTTAAGTAACCATGGCAACATCATTCAACAAATAAAAAAAAATAAAGACAATTATGTATCTTAGTGTAGTCTACTTGTGTGATGAGTTATACTGAAATCAGACAAAACTGTAGGAGGAGTAACATTTTTTAAGTATTTCAAAGAAATTTCTATTTTTAGTAACCATGGCAACACCGTGCATCGAAATCAAAAACCAATATATAGAATTATGTATCTTAATGTTGTCTACTTGTGTGCCAAGTTATACTGAAATCAGACCAAGACTGTAGCGGAGTAGGGTATTGAAAGAATTTCACAGAAATTTCTATTTTTAGTAACCAAGGCAACACCGTTCACTGAAATCAAAAACCGATATACAGAATTATACATCTTAGTGTAGTCTACTTGTGTGCAAAGTTATATTGAAATCAGATCAAAACTGTAGGAGGAATAGCGTTTTGAAAGTTTTTCACAGAAATTTCTATTTTTAGTAACCATGGCAACATATTTCATTGAAATCAAAAACCGATACACAGAACTATGCATCTAAGTGTAGTCTACTTGTGTGCTATGTTATACTGAAATCAGACCAAAACTGTAGGAGGAGTAGTGTTTTGAATGTACTTCCCAAAATATCTATTTTTAGTAACCATGGCAACACCGTCCATTGAAAGTAAAAACCGATATACAGAATTCTGTATCTTAGTGTAGTCTACTTGTGTGCCAAGTTGTATTGAATTCAGACTAAAACTGTAGGAAGAGTAGCATTTTGAAAAATTGTTGACAGACAGATAGACGGACGGACGACGGACTCCTTACTTTTGCATAAGCTCCTCTGGTCTCTTACCAGTAGAGCTAAAAATTGAACCAAGCAAATGAAAGAGAGCTGACACTTGAAAAAATATTAAATCAAAACAATGCTACGACTGAACAAGTAAAGCAGAGAGTACAAGTTTTTGACATAAACGTGAACAGATTGACGAGGCAGCAAAATTGACTGCACAGAAAACTTCTCGGGGAAAGGAATGTACAGTGGAAATAAAAGACGATGCAGGCAAAAGTAAGGTTCATTATGTTCCCAGTGATGATGAGATTAGTAATGATCACTCTGTTTCAAAGAGACGAAACCAGGCTTTTCCTAAACTACCTAACTAGTTCCTTCCCCTACCAACGTCATCGAAGTTCAATACCTCGAACCTGGACTGGAAAGTCTCCGAACCATTATCAAAGCTATAAAAATTATGGTGTAAAGAGGGGCTCATACTATCACGAATCGAACAGCATTCCAACCGATGTTATGTGCGACTTTTACGGTTACATTTGGGACTTGACTATAATTAATCCATAATTATGAGTTGTGCTTATGTTGTAACTAAAAAGATGGTCATGACATATACTGTATATATACATACATACATATATATTAATACATGATTTACATGAATGTATGCCATATATACTCACTATTACTCTGTTATTTGTAATGATGTATTGATCAACAAAGCATGTATTTTACTCATACATGTAGCATACACATAATGTTATTATGTTATATCATTAATGTATTATTACATGTTCTATATCGATGACAGTATTTCTTAGTGTCTCCGGACTTGAAAGTGTATTATTACTTATTACATAATTTTAATAGATGCACCAATGATTCATGATTGAGTCATACAGTATTACAGAAGTGTATTCCGACCGCTGCTGACTATATTTTGGCCGATGTGGACCTTTTAAATGATATAAATTTTTTTTAAAGTAACTGATCCCACATATTGATCAAATCATGCAGAAATATCTGTATGTATTCAGTGCAATAAGCCCAATAGTGAAGTTACCTCTAGATCAAGAGCTTTACAGTTGAAATTTTTTTAAATGCTCTTATAAATGGGAAAATATTTCAAAATTTAAATTATAAGTTGTTTTGTCTGATCCTTAATTACTAGAACAGATTTTATCCTATGAAAATACAATTAATGAACAAAATGCAGAAGGTATAGATAAAGCTACAGAGGCACTTAATTCAATTTTACAAGATTTAGCAATGAAATCTTGTAAAATCATCAATTGTAAGAAAAAAAAAGGCTAAGAGGAACAAACCAAGGTTTGACACTCAGATTAAAGATTTGAAAACAAACTGTGTTAATGCTAGGAACTAAGATGAAAAATGAACCTTTTAATTCAAAAATTAGATGTGATTATTTTACTCACTGTAAACAAATGAAAAAAAAATGGTAAAACAACAAAAGAATTTATTCCAGAAAAAATTAGATGATAAATTATTGAATTGGAAAGAAACAAACCCCAAACAATACTGGGAAGTGCTTAATTCTCTTAAAAGAGATAAAAGCTCTAATAATAAAGCAGATATATTAGTAAACATCAATAAAGTTATAAACCATTGTAAGACACAAGGTATATGTAAAGAAAATCAATAAAGATTTTCAGAAAAGAATTCAAGATCATGTAATTCAGTATAATTTTTTTTGAAAGAAAACTTAATTACTGACCAACCATTAACCATCACTAAAGTCAAGAAATTAATTCATAAGCTTAAAACTAATAAAAGTGCAGGACCAGATCTTTTTCCAAATGAAATATTAAAACATACCTCAGTGGTTACTTGTAAAGCTATAATTAAACTATTAAACTTAATATTGCATGCCGGAGATCTCACTCCAGATACTGCATAGCAAAACTATTTAGTGCTATACTTAAAAAAATTAATGCTACATTATGATAAATTATTCTCAAAACAACTATTTGGCTTTAGAACAGACCACAGAACAACAGACAGCCTTTTTCTTCTTAAAACTTTAATAACAAAATACATTGTTCGAAATAAAACAAAAATATATGCATGTTTTTGTGGATCTGCGCAAAGCATTTTACACTGTTTGGCATAATGGCCTTTTATACAAATTAATGAACAATCAAATTGGCCAATTTTTTTTCCTAAAATTATTCAAAGTACAGTAAAACTTGTCTAATCCGGCGACCAGTGGTTCCAAAATTTTTCGCCGGATTAGACAACATCCGGATTGGAGAAAATTGAACCGTTATAGCAAGTTAAAAATTACATAGATATAAACAGAGTAGTAAATAAATACTTTATCAAATGTCATTTTTTAGGTTTCACTTGAAAAAATCGTCTATTTTGTTTGTTTTGAACTCTGTTTGTTCTTCAGAATTTTCATTTCTGTTTAAGTTTTATATCTCTTGTCATTCATTAAATTTGAAAATCGTTCAATGTTTTAAACACGCTCCAAAACCTCATCGTAGCTGTAAATATTATTTTGTTAGGGACAGATTCCTTATTAATTTCTTTCTTTTAAAATTGAATATTTAGACACGGTATTTGTTTATTTCAAATGTTATAATGAATATTGGACCAAAATCTTCTGTCGTTATGGTCGTTGTAAACTAGCGACACAAAGGGAAATGATTCGAATTGCACGTCGAGCACGCAAAACGAAAGTAGAAAGGAGGTCATGAATAAGTCTTCAAGTTTTTCTACAGACATGCTACACGCAACCATCACTATCACTCGTTCCTTTGCGAGTTTCCTCGCCGTACTTGAGTCATCGATGTTTTTTTTTAATCACGTTTGTTAAAATCTAAACTGTCCATACAGGATAGATCATTAACGGGACAATAATTACCCCAACGCGAGACTTCTCTAATGACCAGCGGGCACAGGTAAAAATAAGTGGCCGGAGTAGAGGAGATAATTTGTACTAATTATGAGTAGTTAGTTCTTTAAATAGCGGCCGGTTTACAGAATAGGCAAGATCCGGATTGAGCAACATTTATTTAACATAAATTATGAAGAAAATTCAAGGGACTAAAATATTACGCCGGACTGAACAACATGCCGGAATGCACAACATCCGGATTCAACAAGTTTTACTGTATGTGCAATTCATGTGAATCAGCTATTAAATTCGAAAACACTCATTCCAATTATATTAAACTTGATAGAGGAGTAAAACAAGGGCATAGTATAAGCCCAACATTATTCAATTGTTCTATTAATTACCTACTTGACACATTTGATCAGTCGTGTGATCCACTAATACTCGAATACACACATGTATCTACTTTAAGCTTTGCAGATGACCTTGTTCTGCTCTCAGAGTCCCATACTGATTTACAGAATACACTGAACAAATTGCAAAATTATTGCTTAAATTGGCAACTAACTGTTAATACTACAAAAACAAAAGTTTTAACTTTTCAAAAGATATTTAAAGCAACCCCTGTTTTTATTATGATAATCACCCTCTTGAAGAAGTAAAAGAATATAATTTCCTTGGCACAATAATTGATCACAAAGGTAGTGGAAACAAAGGAATACTAGAGCTGTCTAAGAAAGCTTTGAAAGCAATATTCTCCCTACGAAAAAAATTCTCCATTTTACATTTACCTGTGAAGTTGTCTTGTAGATTATTTGACACTCTTGTTCGCTCTATGTTATGCTTTAATAGTGAAATCTGGCTTATGGATGATTACCTTCAATCGTACAGAGCAATGCTTAGAGCAATGAAAAATAAGAACTCAAGTGATGATCTCGCGTTACAAGAAAAATCTGTCTATCAAAACGTACATGCCAGATATTGTAAAACAGTTCTAGGACTCAACAAAACAGCATGCAATATTTCATCATTATGTGAACTAGGTAGGCTTCCAGTCTCTTCTTTATTAAAACTAAAGATATAATACTTTGTACGACTAAACTCTCAGAATGTAATCCATCCCCATGATTGAAGAGTCATATATATCAACATGTCTTTGCATGAAGAGGGATTTTACTCGTGGCATACCCTCGCACTGTCTATATTTAAAGAAAATAGTAATGACTACAGAAAAAAGAGGAAAAATTTAACAACATTCAAAATTCAGTTTAAAAGAATTTGAAGAAAATAGTAATAGAAAATTATAAAGACAAAACTATGAAAAAAGTATCTAAATTCACAGGAAACTCTAAACTATACTTGTACAGTAAAATAAAACACAATATCTAAATGGAAAAATATCTTATGCTTGAAAATAGTTTCAAGAATAGACAATTGCTAACTAAATTTCGAACAAGTGACTACTGCCTACTGATAGAAACTACTGGACATAAGAAAATACCTCGACAGCAAAGACTATGCACTTCATGTAATGCTATTGATGATGAATTTCATATCTTTTAACAATGTAATTGTAATATACAAGCAAGGAATATACTTATAACAAGATGTGTTTGTGAAACACTGATGCCCCCGTATGGCAGCTTATGGCGAAGGTTAGCGTTCTCAAATGCAAGTCAAAATCCAGGCCAAAAGATAAAAAATGTTGGTATCCAAATAAAGGCCTCGTCTCGAGGAATAGACCTGTGAAATTTGAAAGCCATAGCTGCAACTGTTCAAAAGTTACGGTGAAGGTTAAAGTCTTTTAATAGTAAGTAAAACGTCAATGTCAAGGTTAAAGTTGTTGGTATCCAAAGGAAGGTCTTGTCACAAGGATTACATATGTGAAGTATGAAAGCCCTAGCATCAACGATTCAAACGTTATGGCCAAGGTTAAAGTTTTTCGAAAATAGGTCAAACTCCTATGTCAAGGTCAAAGGGGTTGGTATCCAAGGGAAGGTCTTGTCACAAGGGTTACATATGTGAAATATGAAAGCCCTAGCATCAACCATTCAAAAGTTATGGCCAAGGTTAAAGTTTTTCAAAGTAGGTCAAACTCCTATGTCATGGTCAAAGTGGTTGGTATCCAAAGGAAGGTCTTGTCACAAGGATTACATATGTGAAGTATGAAAGCCTTAGCTCCAACCGTTCAAAAGTTATGGCCAAGGTTAAAGTTTTTCAAAAGTACTTCAAACTCCTAGGTCAAGGTCAAAGAGGTTGATATCCAGAGGAAGGTCTTGTTACAAGGGATACACATGTGAAGTTTGAAACTCCAACTGTTCAAAAGTTATGGCCAAGGTTAAAGTTTTTCAAAAGTAGGTCAAACTGCAATGTCAAAGACAAAATGTCAAAGTTATTGGTATCCAAAGGAAGGCCTTGTCACAAGAAATTTACATATGTAGTTTGAAACCCTAAGCACCAACTGTTCAGAAGTTTTGGCCAAGGTTAAAGTCTCATAAAATTTTGCAAAAGTGGGTCAAACTCCAAGGTCAAGGTCAAATATGATGGTATCCAAAGAAAGGTCTTGTCACGAGGAATACACATGTGAAATATGAAAATCATGGCTCCAACCAATCAAAAGTTATGGGCAAGGTTAAAGTTGACAACAGACAGACAGACAGGACAAAAACAATATACCCCCGGGATCTTTCGATCCAGGGGCATAAAAACCATGCTAGATTATTGTACCTCATTCTATCTTAAATCATCCATACAAAAACTTGAATATATACTTCGTCCTACATGTACAGTTGAAGTTATACCGGCTCTTAGCACTTTTATAAAAAAATCATTAGAATTAAGAAATAAAAGGTCCACATCGGTGTAACAAATATTGAGTAAATAACTTAAATTGCGCCTATTGTTTATAAACATCCAATTTTCTCTATTTTTTTTTTTATGTTGGATGGTATTGCGTGACCTATATGGGTGTATTATGCAATAATGCAATAAAGAAATTTTATATATAAATAACATTAAATGGAAATTGCATGTCTTCAGAGAATGTTTTATTTAAAAAATGCTCAAGGTCTTAAATTAATACTAAATGAACTACACTGGTAATGTAATACATTTGTAGTTTTGAATGTAAATCTCTTGTCACCAACCTCCCCCACTGCTTTTGTGAGTCTCAATCAGTGCCGTCTGAAAAACTGATTTTGGCCAGGCTCTGGGGACAAAGCTGTCCGAGTCACCGATTACGGACAAAACAAGTTTTGGAGTTCCGAACTCCTTAACCAGAGGTTCCCAAATCTTCCCAGATGTGTCGTTCATGTCACTTTGATCCATTGTTAAATTTCAGGACAATCTACAAAATAATATTGCTGTTGTGGGAGTAAAAGAAGTTTGATCAATGTTAGTAAGTGTATCGACTTATTATCCCCTACCGGTGAAACCGGAAGGGACTATAGGTTTCCTCTGAGTCTGTCCGTCCATCTGTCGGTCTGTCAGTATGTCCCACTTGGTTTTCCGGACTTTTTTTCTAAACGTTTACAGATATTGAGCTTTTTTGTATGTGAGTGTATCTTGATTAGTTACAGATCAAGTTTGCATTTCGTTCTGCTTCAATGATTTTTGACGGAATTACGACCTTTTCAATTTTTCTGGGTTTTCCGCACTTTTTTCTAAACGCTTGCAGATATTGAGCTGATTTTTGGTATGTGACTTAACCTTGATGAGTTATAGATCAAGTTTGCATTTCGTTCGGCTTCATTGATTTTTGAAGGAATTATGGCATTTTCATTTTTTTACCAGATTACACTTGCCGGTAGGGGACTAGTATTGCTAATGCAACACTCTCAGAATGCTTGTATTTAACAGTTACACATACGATTCAACAAATCAGATTTGAAGTTTAGCGTTTATTTGGAGTCGCACTTATTAGCTTACTTACATAGCGGTTCCACAAATCAGAATTCCAGTTCCAAAATAAACACGTGTTGTGTATTTATTAATAAAATGGTCTTTTAAAATTTTTTATAAATTCAATAATGTAACGATTCAAAGGCATAAAAGACATGCTATTAAAACTTCTTTCATAAATATATAAGCCTTCCAAACAATAAATTTATTTCCCTTACCTGCTTAATGCAGAATATTTCAATAAGATACCCGACCAAAAAATTACACCATCAAAACATATACTTAAAAAAATTTAAAACAGGTTAGAGTACACATCAGCCTTTAGAAATTGTTTTGCAATATGGTCAATATTACGTCGACGCATTTCAATTTTCAAAGTCAGTTGGAACAGTTGTTGCAGATGATTACACTTGTTTGAAACTTGAATTTTAGAACTTAATCGATATGTTTTCTGAAAATGTATGTCCTCGTACAAGGATTTCACACATTGGTTTCAAATGTTCAACAAAGAACTACCGCTATTTAAATACAATGCCTGCATTTTGAATAAAAGGCATTTAAATTTAGATGAAATACTTTTTTGGAGATGTTTACTATTTTATCCTTCAATCTTACAGTTAAAAGGGTGAGGATAACGAATAATTATCGGTCTAAAGAAATATCTATATAGATTACAAATCTGGGGACAGCGCATACGCAGGCTTTTTTCAATACACTATCAGAGATAGCTTTATTATTTTGTTTACCCATGGCATTTCAGTAGTTAATAGTTATTATCTCTAAAAATATCATTAATAACGTTTTCATTTGCCTCGCGTTTACATTGCATTTAGTACTGGAAATGGTGAAATCAAGATTTTTTTTTGTTTAACGTCCCATTCGAAGTAAAGAAATACAGATGGAAAACAAATCTAAACAACTTAATTCGCCATTTTCTTCCGTTTTGTGGAGCAGTAGACACAAGTAAAAAGCAGACTCTTTGAACGAACGATTGAAAAGTATCAATACCGTGTCAGGGTTTTGGTCGATAATTTCTCAAGAATGTAAGAATTCAGTTCTCTCTGCCGTGGAATAGAATTTTTCAAGGCAAGTTATTCTTTGGGTAAAGTTACCTGACCAACATACATTAAGCTTAATCTTTGGGGATTCATCGGTAGGAAAGCAAACTACAATGTTCAAATCACATAAATATAGCCATAAATAGATAAGGTATTTAAATGCGTCTACCTGGCTTGTGTGTTTGACTGGTAAATGTTCATATTGTGCCCCTGCTGTTTTTTTTTCTTTTAAATAAATGTCAGTTAATTATTATGGATTGGTGTTCTCGTCAATTTTTGAGTCCTCTCTTTGGTTATTCCTTACGTATAACGCGAGTGAACTTATTTCAAATGATATTTTCATTTCAGGTCTTTTTAAAATAAAAAAACACACACACCATTTTTGAGCTATATATTCAATTCCCAGAGAGACAAAAAAAAGACAAAATCTTTTTTTATGTCAACAGAACACCCATTTTGATGTTGCAAAAGAAAGTATGGCCTCTGTTTACAATAAATATGAAGTTCTAGGTACCAGTTCTTGTAAAAAAGTTTTGTTTCATTTTTTAAATTTGACCCCCAAGGTGAAAATAAAAAAATCAAAATCTTATTTATCATACGCAAGACACACCAAAGCTTCTAGCAAAAGATGTATAGTCGAGGACTACACGTTAAATTACGCTTTATAAAATCTAGGAACAGAAATATATGTATTTTAATTACCTATTTTATTGAACATTATAATTCTGCTAAGATATGAAACTTTTTTAAACTGGTTATATTAATGTTTTGTTTTGTTTTTTTTTTCAAAATATAACATTTTGATTCAAAGCATCAAATCGTCTGAATACGTTCTATTTCCAATATGGAAGAGTTATAGTTCTTAGTACGCTCTTTTGTGAAAAAGTCGGAAAAATATACAAATCTCGCGGGATTTCTGGGAAAAACGTAACATAAACACATGTTGAATGTCAATCAACAAATCCTTACAAAAATGCAAATGAAACATTTTATTGTTGTGGACTTTATATGCATCAAAAGTAGAAACAACAACGATATCAATTTATACCTATTGTTGATCGTACATGTTTGTATCTATTCATCGAATGGTACATCTAAATACAACGGCACATGCCTCTGAAATGTCGTGTTTTTATTAATGGATGATATATTTAGGATTCTCGTTCCCTTGCATACGTCTATTAGTTTTGCTATCCTTTAATTGGAATGACAAATACAATAAACATTCAAAATTGGACAGAGATTGGTATGTTTTTATATTATCCGCATCGTCATGCTGTCCCAGTCAGACGATCAAACGCGTCTCTAATTTGAAGAGTTCCATTAATGGAAATCAAATGTATTCCCTAAATCTATTAAACCTGATGCCGATGATTTCTGCAAGCGTGCAGTGATGATGAACATCACAGTAAATGTGAAGTAATGAACATTTATCGTTTTGTCATTCGCACCTGTAGCAAATTCAAAACATATCTCCTCAATATTTAAAAAAAAAAAACTAATTTTCCGGAAGCTTGCGATCGTATCGAGTTGCTTTTATACATTATACACTCCCATCTTTTGGGAAAAGTTATAAATTTGATATTTGATTAAAACTGAGCAAAAAAAAAAAAGCATTTATATCAATAATTGAGATAACGCAGTACAGTTAAGGCTACACATGAAGATAATATGGTAATGAGGTCATAATGAGGTTTGACGTCATGACAGTTGCTCCGCCTTGATAGATCTATATAAGGAAATAGAGCTCAAAAAAGCTATTTAATGATGATTGCGAGAATTTGTAATGAATGTCTGTATTTTCAGGTTTAAATAAATAAACATTAGTGATTTTCTCTTATATAGTAACAACACGTCTTCGAAATAATTCTCTTTTTATTGTGTCGTTTGGCTGCATTCGGCTTCAGCCAAGCGCTTGCACTCGGTGACACGGAATGTTGTTTACATCTAAAAACGTGGCGACAGCAGCTGAGATATGCAGTAGATAAATGCAACAATCAGGCAATCTTCAAAGAGAATAGGGATAAAATAAGAGACCTAGGCCTTGTTTATGTTTTTGATGAGAAGATGATGACGTTATTTCGGGAAATCATGGGAAACTGAGACGATCCGCACTACCTCCCTAGGTCCTTTTCTGTTCATTAAGGTGTGTATGCGCATAGGTATTAACATGTAGACATACTGTTCTTTACATAGATGTAAAATAACCGTGAACATGTACAATAAGATGTATTATTACAGCCGTCACAAACTGTAATGCAGTGCCTTGTGTGTATGCCCCCCCCCCCCCACACATTATGAAAGTTGCACAGTTTTTAACATGTAATGATGTTGTCCTTTGGCATACATGTACAAACATGTAACATAATATAAGCAGAGCATGTCATGATATCAAATTATAATTTAGATGCAGTCACACTTACAATGTATTTCAATGTGAAGTCAAACTGCACGGTGTATAATGTACGTGCACTGTACATACAAGAGTATAAGACCCTATAAATTTTAATTTATACCTCTGGCAATCAAAAATGTGTGAATTTTAGGATTTCAGATTTTACCAGTGCTTCATATGTGAAATTCATCCGTAGAACTTTTCTTTCTGTATCACTAGGCTGTAAATTTGTAGAATTTCTACATTAGTGAAGATTGATATTTGAATTTTCATTTGTCTGACCACATGTACATTAAGCCAGTCTTATATGTATATACATGTATTTATTAACAGTTTATATGTATAATTCTTTTATCATTGTAGCTGCCACAGAACTGGTTAAGACTGGCATTTACATCAGCCAGAACTATCAAAATAGATGCATCAATTTCTCCACTGGGTATGATCACACTAAAGCATTTCACATTAAGTTTATAGTATGCCAGTGTTAAATTTTTTTTTTAAATTTTGTATGGGTGAAAGAATTAAATGCTATCTCTAGTATATTGATTTATTTTTTTCTACTTAAATTGAGTATAGCTACCAATTCTACTTTTGCAAATGTCATCGGTTTCAATTTCCCAGAAAAGTTTTGTATCAAAAGTTTGTTTCCATTTATTTTATGAATTTCAGAAAATATAGTATAGCATGGTTTGTTTTGCACAATGCAATGTCATTTCATTATACAATAGTAATCATTATGTATTTCACTCATTACATATATATTGTGTTGTAGCTACTCCCAAACAATTTGAACAATTCATTCAGGCAGCAAGTGTTTGCACCAATAAAATAAAAAGGTATGCTCCATAATAGCTATAAACCATACATATTCCTAGCAAGAATATTGGAATGTTTTGATAATAAGAACAGAAGAGTCATGTATATGCTTTCCATGTTACTCAATGCATTGTTTTGAGTATCACTTTTTTAAA